ATACCACTAGCCAGTTTAGGAAAGCGCTAGCTCTCCTTAACCTCCAGAGAAAGGTTAAGAATTTATATCCTTCCTTTGGAAGCATCGGTAACTTTAGGGCTGGGGCTGGGCTCATGGGTGGTGAATACTGGATTTTGATGGATCGTTGGTGCATCTTGATTTAGTGTTTCGTAGTTAGGACATGTGGGAAAGGCAGCTCACCTCTTTTTCTCTAAGTTCCATTTATCTTTAATTAAGTTGATCTTTCATGCATAAGTCACATGATTCAAAAACTGAAAATAGATAAAAATACAGGAATTCTTGATCCCACCCATGACTGAGTAAACACCCTTCTACTTCCATTCTGGTCTTACAGGTAACCCTTATATCAGTTTCCTATTTATCTTTCTAGTGTTTTCTTATATAAAATACAAAAAGGAAATAGAAGTATATACACCTTTAAGAAAAATCTCTCGTATAGAAGGTAGCATGCTGATATGAACATGCCTTTTTCCCACTTACTGGGACCTGGTATTATTTCCACAGCAATATGTAGAGAATTCCTCATTCTCTTTCACAGCAGTATGGTTCCCATTTCATTGTGGTTTGCATTGTATGGGAATTCCATGCTTTATTTACCTGGCCCTTGTTGATAGACAGTTGAGTTGTTTCTATAATCTTTCACTTTTATAAACAGTACTGCAGTGGATCATTATGTACCTGTGCAGCAAGTCACAGAAACATGTCTGGGTCAAGGGCAAATGCACTTGCACTTAGGCTAGGAGTTGCCAAATTGCCCCTCACAGGGATGTACTGGTTTTTATCTCTACCAGTCTCTGTCCCTGTGGCCAACAGTGTGTTGACAAACTTCTGGACTTCTGCCCATCAAAGACGTGTGAATGATAATTATATACTGTTCAATTTTAAAACGTGAAATTTTGCCTTTTTTTTTTTTTTTTTTTTTTACCTAGCTGAGGAAACATCTGAATTCTGGAATTGGATCTTCATCAAATTAATCATGGGGTTATGGGTAATCCCACACCCCCACTTTTAACTTTTTAAAGTAGAAAAATCCCTTTTTTTAATAGACTGTTTTAGCCTTGATATTTCAAATAGGAAGTTTTGGAACTACCCTTTAGGGTCTTCATAAGGCCAGAGCTTTTTTCTGGCTGTGCGCTTTTAGGAACCTAGCGCATTGCTTCACCCACGCAGCCTCACAAGACTGACCTGGAAAACGGTAATGTCTATCTGTTTACTTACAGTTGAGCCTCTGAAATAGGTGTCAGCAGTCGTCTCCTTCAACAATCAAAGAGGGAGACTGAATTTGGATCATCTTGTGGGATATAACCCAAATCACAGAGATTTAGGACTGTGATGTGTGGAAGCTGGAACAGGTTGAGTTAAATAGAACTGGAATTAGACTTGAGGATTCAAAGCTTTTTCAACTCTTCATGCATGGGGGTGAGTTTTAGCCCTTGTCCTATTTTATACTTGGTTTCTTCAGACAAAATTTTTCCCCCTAAAATAATGCTTTGAAAACAGGAGGGACTTGGTTATTTAATTCATCCAACAGGTCTCAGGTGTATATGTTCCAGATACTTTTACCAGATGCTGGTTTTTACAGAGTTGATGAATAGTAACAATAGTGTTTACCAGGGATGTAGCGCTGTGGAAAAGTACACTATATACACTAAATAATTGAATTCTCACAATCATATGCAGTAAGTACTTTTCTTATCACCCTCATTTTACAGATGAGAAAAGAGGTCTGGAAAAGTAACTTTCCAAGTTCAGTCAGAAGGCAGTGCTAAGATTTGAGCACCTTGTATTTGGACTGCGGAGTTCTTAGGGGTCATCTCTTTGGCGCCACCCAGAGCAAAGCCATTTTTACCATGGTGCATTTCAGGGCTCTTATTAATCAATCCCCTAACGCTTTTGTGAGATGTACAGAAAAACCTCTCACAAAACAATTCAGTTGATTTTTAAGCCTGGTTTTTCTGATTAGCTCTGGGTGTTGTTCCATTCTTACCAGCCACATTTACCTCGAGGGGTGTCTAGTCTAAAGGGCTAGTGCAAGATTATATATATATATATTTGGTTCAGTTTAAGAAGGAAACATTTTCTGAACCTGGCTCTTAAATTCTAGTGCGCCTTTCAGGACACTAATGTTAACATTGTTGGTTTGGGAAGAATAGAAGGAGCAGTCGTCTTTGCTTTGAGAACCAGCTGATTTCTGAAAATTTCTGGAACTAAAGTGCGAGAGACCAGGGCAGTAGCTCTTTTTCTGCCTAGAGCCAACTAGCTTGGAGAACTTGAGCGCCCCCAACCTGACCTCTTCCCTTATGGCTTGTGGAATAGACCTTACAAGGTTTTTCTGTGAAGATTAGATGAGAACATGCATGAAAGTATTTTGAAACTCGCCAGACATGCATGACTTGCAGCTATTGTCAGCTTTACCATGGAAAGCATCTTTCAGAAGTTAGACAGTTTTCTCTGGTTATGAAAAGAGATTTGTTTTTATTCGAGCTTGTCTCTAATGTGAAATAGGAGCTATTATCAATGTGGTCTGCAGTTGACTGTGGTGAGTTAAAATTTGTAATAAAATAACTTAGGAAGGAAACATACAACACATATGTTATATTCACATCCAGTTTGCAAATTCTGGGAACGCAGACGTGAAAGTTTGGGATCAAGCACTGGTACTGGACTTCCAGCAGGGTCCCCACTTGCCTTTCACAGACGAGGAAAAGAAACTGTGTAGGCAAAAGACCCTGGCTCAGAGTCTTTTTATGCTCTTTTCAATTCCTGAGGAGGCATCTTAGAATTTTGGACAGGAAGAAGGCTCAACCAACAAAAAGGGCCTTACTATGTGCCAGCTACCTTGGTTTATAATCAAATGTTTCTTTGGGCTCCTTCTCAGTCCCAATTATACCTCCTCTCTATTGCAAAAAGTCCTCTGACCCTGACTCATCTAATGATGAATGTGCCACATGACAACCTTACCATCCTATTAATCACTTCCTTGGTCACTCAGCCAGTCTCGGTTTTGAGCCACCCATCAGGCCTTGCTTCCCAAGCTTTTCAGGGACCTGGGTATAACAGGTACATGGTCTCAACTTACGGAGAGCAAACCTTAGCGGGCATTTCCAAATGCAGCAAACAAAAAGAAAACCTCTAAACCGTTGAGGCATTACATGAAAGCAATAGCCCTTCACAGCTAGCGTTTGCAACTTATTAATTATTGGAAGTAGATACAGAGGGGTAAAGTGATTTGACCAGGAATCTATTCTACAGATCAAAGGTTAGGTCAGTGCACAGGAGAGGTGATGGAAGTGGGAGGGACAAGAGGTGACATGGTTAATAGATTTGGTAAAAACAATTTGGTGTTGGCAGCGGCAGCCTTGACTCCCCCCCCCCTTTTTTTAAAGATCCTGTTTCTGAGACAAAGGCAGTATAACGTAGCTCAGTATTTCCTGAAATTACCAGATGCTAAGTATTGCCCAAGACCACTTATACGCACATTCTCTGGACCTTCCATTGGAGTTCGATAGGTCTAAGGCAGGACCTGGAAATGTGTGTTTTACAATCACCGTGAGCGACTGTTAAAAATTGGGATGTTTGAATAAAGAGTTCAAATAAAAAGTTAAAGAGAGTACAAGTTAGGGTGTTTTAATACAAAAAACTCAGGATACCGTTTTGTGCAGTCTTAAGCTAAAAGGTAGTACCCTACCCCACCATATAACAAATTAAAAACCCTGCCAAAGTAGCTCCTTTTATACAGAAATGTCCCCTTTCCTCCCCGTTCCTTACGTGTTTTAACTGCCTAACATAGGGCTGGAGTTGCCTGCCCCAGCTCGGCCAGAGACACGCTCTACCTGGGGCCGGGCGGGTTCGGGGCCACGTCCCTGTCCCGGGCCACGTCCCTGTCCGGCGTCCGGCGGCTGCTCCCGTGCCGCGCTCCGATTGGCTGGAAGTTCCCGGTCCGGAGCCC